TCCCTCACTCGAACAGCTTCTGCAGTTTTGGTTTAAGAGAACCCGTTTCTTATAATTAAGTTTTATTGTTGCGTGTGTTGAAAGATTAATAGTCGACTTCTGTTTTTATTATTATTTTTTTGTTTCCACTTGTTTAATACGCATGTGAATTTCAAAAACCCGCGCCACTAAACAGTGGGCGTTCCACACTTGATTTCTTGTTGCTTTCGCAGATCTTTGTTTTACTTTTCGCTTCTTTTTGTATTTATTTATTTTTTTTTTTTTAATAGTTATTTTTTAGGTGTGTTTCTTATGAGCCTTACGACTTTTATAAGCGTGCCTGAAACTTTAAGCTTTTTTGGCAAATCCCATTTTAAAGATTTGCATTGATTAGACTGACAGGTGCATGGGTGTGGCCTAACGTGGCATGTCAAATGTTTATGAAATCTTATGCAAATTGAAAACTATATTTAATAGAAGTTGACATCACTTTAAGATAGTTCAAAATATATGAAAGACTGGATAGATCAGGAGTTTGACAACGAACAATTGTGATCAATATATATTTTAATACTTAAATTTTATTTTAGTTTAAGATCTTTTTGAATGTAAGATATAAGATCTAAGAAATTGTATATACTTTCAAGTAGGAATTCAGTGTCATAAATTTTAAATAGCTTGATCTGTAAAGTTGTGAAAATCATCTGGGTACATAGTATGCTTTCAGAAGACCATATTTAATGGGTCTACTATTAAATTTCAAATTCAAATTAGAAAAAAATATTTATTATTAATATTATTTATATATTTTGATAAGAAAGAATAGTTAGATCAAGATCTTGACAGAGTATTTAATAGCATGAACTGAGACTTAGCTTGAAATCTTAATGAATATAAAATATAGAATGTAGATATTTTCATGCACTCATAAGTTTGTTAGACTTACTAATATTCTCATTCGAACTCACCTTGTTCAGTAGCACGCAAGCCTGTTATCTGATCACCTTAATAAATTCAATCTATACTATATTAAATAACCTATATTTGAGTAAGAACTAGCCCTTTTTATAATGCTCTTTGTTGTCCATTGATAACTGTACTCAAAGAGCAGGTCTACAAAACTTCCTATCACTTCCTGTCCTAGATCCTTGGGCAATGGTCTCATTTATCAAGCCCCAATATCAAAGTGGCCTAATCCACTAAATCAATTAATAATTTCTCACTGGACAGACCGGAAAAGATTACAACGCTGACCGCAACCACAATATGTACCTCTGATCACCTTGATCGCTTCCTGTGCCACACACACAGACACAAATGCGCTCTCTCGCGGTTGATCAAGGACGATCTATTTAATCGAAGGCGATGCGGAAACCCAGCAAAGTATTTCCGCTGCGAGGACCAAGCCAGGCTCAACTCGACAATTGTGAGCGTATTTGTGTGCGCTCAAAAGAAAGGGAAAAGAGCTGGCAACTCGTTATGAAAAATGATCTTGTGATCTTGTTGAATAATTCCGAACTTCTTTGAAGTGAACCCTAGCCAGGCCTAATGTCAGTTTATTGTGTAATGAGCTCTCCAAATAATTTGGCATGCCCTCCAACTGTAACCGACTCCCAACCACCGATCGCTGCGATCGCTGCCACACGCCGCGCTTCATGCCCGATTTGAGAGCAAGTCGGCATTTACTTTCGTAAACAGATGCCGAAGTTAATTGGCGCACTCCTCCGTGGCGCGACAGCGGCTCACCCTTGCCCGTTGACAACTTGCCGATCGTCATCCTCTTGTGTAATTTGATATATTGTGTCACTTGTCAACTGTGGTGACTTTTACGAGCTGCCTGCGGCAACGCCCCCTCCTCGCCAGCTTCAGCGAACTGCTTCGTCGATTCATCGTCGCTGCGACTGCTGTGCTGCGATCGTCGGCGGCCGCTTTTGACAGATTTGTTGCGCTCCCTGACGTTTCAATTAATATGCAATGGCGCGCAGTGAACGTCGACACTCCCACTCCCACTGCCAGTTCCACTCATCTGCCCCTTTCCCTCTCCCATTCAGATTCACATTCCCATTCCCATTTTCCATTCAGATTCCCATTCTCATGCCGAGGGGATCTCACACAGTCCAACGATCGATCCACCACCACGTCGGTGGCCCCATCGAATATGATTTAGTAACTTTCCTTCCCAATATCCCATTCAGCAGCGCTGAGCGTACAAAATTTTATGACTTCTTACGAGGCGTTTATAATTTTTAGTAGCCTTTAATAAACTCTCATCTCTCTTTGCGCAGGCCGGGACTCGGACATCAGTGACACCGAATCGGAGCCGGGTATTCCGCTCAAACGCAAACAGCGACGCTCCCGCACCACATTCACCGCCGAGCAGCTGGAGGCTCTCGAGCGCGCCTTCTCACGCACCCAGTACCCGGATGTCTATACCCGAGAGGAGCTCGCTCAGACCACCAGCTTGACTGAGGCGCGCATCCAGGTCTGGTTCTCCAATCGTCGTGCTCGTCTGCGCAAGCACTCGGGCGGCTCGGGCTCCGGACTGTCGCCCATGAATGGCAGCGGTGCAGGCGTCGGAGTGGGTGTACCACCCAGCAGTGCAGCTGCACCACTTGGCTTTGGGCCACTGGGCGTGGGCTCGATGGCGGGCTACAGTCCCGCCGCAGGCACCACGGCCAGCACCGCCACAGGCATGACCGACAGCTCGCACCACCACCACAGCACCGCCCATGCTCCCAGCACCCACAGCGCAGCAGCGGCTGCCGCGGCGGCCCATCACCACACACAAATGGGTGGCTACGACCTGGTACAGAGCGCGGCTCAGCACGGCTTTCCGGGCAGCTTTGCCCAACACGGACACTTTAGCGGACAGAACTATTACCATCAAGGTGGGTACACGATGCTTAAGATAAAATCCTTTCCCATTTTCTCTTTTGTTATGGAGCTTATATATTGACTTTTTTAGTTACTTAATCCTTAACCCCACCATCTCAACTCTGTCCTTGCTTCAACTCCTAGAATGAGAGAAGGATACAGAAGACCTTCCTTTCCATATTTACGTAAATCTTCATTATTCCCTTGCTGTTTTATAGAAATTGAGCTGTCAATATTAATTGCAGACCGATTCTTGAGATTGTCCAAATATTATACATACTTGTCGTATATCCAAAACTATTATTTCCATTTTTTTTTTTTTTTTTAAATCCTAACCAACTGTTATTTAGTCCGTGAATTAATATATCAAGACCGACTTATTTTCTTTCTTATTTTTAAATAGTCTTTCTTAACTTATCTATCTTCTATTCTGTACAAGTCTACATCTTATCATTCAGCATACATTACCTCTTACCATCTTTTATTAGCCCTTTTTCTGTTCTCTCAATTTCGTGCTCAACATTTTCGGCGCCTTCATTAAAAAATTCTATATATGTATCCCATATTTTCATTTTTCCATCTCGTTATTCAACTCCCTTTTCATTTGCTCTTCCATATTCTTCATCATGGATCTCTTCATCTTATTCCTAAAAGTCTGATGTACTTTCCATATGAAATCCCTATGTCCTTTTCCATCTCTTTCCTTACTTTACCTTCATCTTTTCGTATTTCCATTGCTCTAGTTTTTTCTTTAATGTTTACCTTCCTCTACATCCTAGATTCTTTTGTTCATCTCTCTCTCTCTCTCTCTCTTCTTCACACTTATTTTTTAATTCTCTCCTAACTTAAAGCCCACTCTTCTTCATTTTAGACTACTCCAAGCTGACCATTGACGACTTCTCGAAACTAACCGCGGATAGTGTATCAAAGATCTCGCCATCGCTGCACCTCAGCGATAATTATGCGAAACTGGAGTCGCCCTCCAACTGGTCGCAGGCTGCCTACCATCTCAACCAGTCGGCAGTGGCGGCGGCCAATTACAACGCGGCGGCTGCCCACCATGCGGTCGCCCAGCACCAGTTGACTGATTATGCGGCAGCAGCAGTGCACGGCAATGTGGCTGCCGCCTACAACCATCCACTGCCCGCCCAGGGGCAGGCGGCCAAGTACTGGTCATGAATTGATTAACTAAGCTGGCGCTCCACACCTAGCACCGTCGGTTGCTTGAGTTACCATAGTTGTGGAATATTTCAACTTGATTACAATTATCAGCAGAGGCACATGTAAATCTTAGACACTTACCTATTTATTCCAGCGACATGCAAATCAACATCTAGCTATAGCATTAGAATTTAATAATATATTCAATTGCATATAAATTACACGGCTATCAGAAAACGCGACGTGTTTCCACTTTGATTAAGTACGTATTTATTTTGTAACTTAAGATATGAAAAAGCGATATTATGTATAAAGAAAATATAATTGTAAAATATAAACAAAGTCGAGTGCGGTTTCATTTGAACTAAAGTAAGACTGGTGGCAAACATCTAATATAAATGGAAGACACAAGGTAAGGTGCTTGATAAACAACAGCTTTAAAGACATATTTACTTTATACTGTCTTGAATGCTTTTGGGTCTTCTAATAAGATATGGGTTAAGATAGTTTTTTTATGGTCAGATTTCCTTTTTAGTTTTCTGTAGATATTTATCGAATACGATTTGAGAGATAAGTGATGTAATTGCTAAACACTGAATTAGAGTCTTAACGAAAAAATGTGTTGCTGGGAGGAATTATTGTTATAAAACAAAGCTTGTTTGCACTTTAGACCATGTTAAACAATCTTTATCCCGCCGCACATTGGGCCAGCGAGCCGATTTTTCGACGAAAATTAAAGTTTTCAAGCTAGGTTCTTGAAATTTGGTACATATGATAGTGTCGATGCACATAAAAATATATCTAAGTTTCAAACCGATCTGACCACGCCTTCCATAGCCGCCCATATGAGATAGGTTTCCTCTAGTTGATACTTTTACGGTAATTAATGATGCTAGCAGTCGTTAAATTCAACAAATGTTTTTAATTCATTTATTTAACACTTAACTTTAATATTAATAAATAAAAAATAAAAATGCATTAAAAATAACAATTTTACATTTAAAAATGTTCCTAAAAGTCGTCTTCTACATCAATTTCTATTGTAAACGGATTTTCAGAGTCAGAATCTGAATCACTATTGTTAGCATCAAAAACGGGAGCATTGTTATTATTGTCCATGTTACAAGGATATAGGAAGTTTGGTGATTCCAAAAGTTCGATTACGTCTGCTGGTAGGGGTAGTTTATTTTGCTGGCCCAATCTTTTTGCTAGGTAGATGCTCGACACAAGAGGATCTGAGGAATCCATTGCTCTGTGGAAAACGTCTTCCATGTTTTTTTGCCGAGTACTCTTTCGAGCATGTAGCCTCCTGTCACTCTTATAATATTTGTTGCGAGCCTCTGAGGCGTTCTCGCCAAGAACACCTAATGGAAGGATTGATGCTTCTATTATTTGGTAGCCGTGCATTAACACTTTATGGACTGTTGCCGACATTGGAAACCATGGATACAAGGACATATATAGTGTTACGGTTTTCTGACAATACTTTTTAAATTGTGTTGGATCAATTGGTAGGTGGCAAGAAATAGCAATCAAGATACTGTTAAAATATGCAATAAGATTTTCATCAAGACCTAAAATTTCAGCTAGTAGCTTAGGTTTTGCAAACGCCCTCCTTGCTGTGTTGCCGTCGTTTGTATTTCCATTGCCATTCTGCTTAGGCTTATCCACATGTAGAGCCATAGCATTCCACATCTTCTTCTGAATCGTATTTTTTTGTTTCGCCATTTCTTTTTTTCCATTTTCATCTCTCACTTGCCATTTTTTAAGTTTCAGTCTATATGCAATTTTGAGAACGAATTCAAAAAAGGCTTCATCTTCCGTTAGTCGAACCGAGTCAGTTTTCTGCGTAAAAAGATTTTTTCTAACCTTATTGTGGTCACTCGGAGTAAGATATATATTTTTTAGCACAAGGGCTGTATCTTCCTCGTTCGATTTTTCGGCCGAAACTGCGGCGGCATGCACAAGAAGAGATGTGTTGTGACCCTGATGTACAGCTAAATCGGATGCCAATTTTCTCTTCTGACGGGGACCGGCGTTAACATATTCAATGGGTGGGCGTCCAACTGGTCTTGATGTTAACGGCTTAGGATTTGAAGACAACAATGAACTTACTGTTATGGCCATATTGGACAAAAGCCACTCGGTATGCTTTGTCTTAAATCTGGCCATACTTCTATTACATTATGCCAAGTTCTTCTGAATGTAAAGGTGAAAGCTTCTCACTTTGGTGTTGATTTCATCCTTTTTTTCCGTGCTTAAATCGAATTCTTTGAGTTCATAATAAATCCAACTCGAAACGGCAGATGCGCTACAATTGTTTTGCATGTAGATATCAAGCAGTTGCTTATAGGCGAACTCAACCACAACTACAATATTAGTGATTTATTCAAATTAGAACAAAATGGAGCAAAAAAGCTTTTTACAGTTAGTTTATATACACTTTGCACTATCATGACACATAATTACTTTTTGGCACAACTTGGCACAAAATTAGTTATAATCCACAACAGACGGGCTAGCAGGTTAGCTTTTTTCTACTTTTGGACAACACAAATAAACGCACACAAAAAACAGATTAGCAAACATAGACAAAATCTTTTTAATATAAATATTCTACATACCTTGGCCTTTCTTTTCCATAATTTTAGTAAAAAATTGATCAAACCACAAAATTTTGGCACGCTTGCAAGTAAACAAAAACTTTCCCGCGCTTTTCAGTTTCACACGCATGCAATCAAACAACTGACTTTGAAGGGCTGCCAAAATGCCAGGGATGCATCAAAACAATTAAAATCTTTTGATTCATTTTAGTCAAAGTATATACTACTAAAATTTTATTCTCAAAATAGGTTTACTTTCTATAAAAAATTTGAATTTTCGTCGAAAAATCGGCTCGCTGGCCCAATGTGCGCCGGCGAAATAAAATATATTTGCATTTATACTACGATTATAATAAAAATATTATGATTTGTATAACAAAATAAAAAAAAAATTTCTACAGAAAAAAAAAGATATGTATTCAAATGAAATATACTATATTTCATTATTATTGTTATATTTATACATATAAAAAAGATAATATATTATTAAATATATATTTATAAGCTCATCTCTAAATATCTTTCAAATGAATCCCATTATTTTCCCCAGCTAGCGAAATAAAACAATTCTGCTTTCATTGGGTTAGGAGCAAACCGTTAATAAGTATTTATGTATATATATTTTGGAAAGTATTTTTGATTTGTGTAGTTTTTCATTTGAAGTAAGTGGTTCGTATATTTAATTAAATTGTTCTGTATAGAGATATAACATATTGTTAAGTATTGTTATCTTTACAGCGCCTCTATTCGCCTTGAGCAATTCGTCGAGATAAGTACATACATAGATAATCGAAGTAAATCTGTATACATGTATAATCATCGTATATGTATATATTTTAATATATTTAAATATATTTTGTTGTTGTTTGCATTTCGAATACTTTAAGTTGGAAATGAATATGTAAGTTAATTATTGACAACATCAGACTTATAATTACGCACATTGAATATGTTTATATTTATTTGGGGTTTCTCTTTCTTTATAATAGATTTCTCTTGGGGTAGTATTCAAATAAACATTTTAAAAGAATTGAATACAATATTTAATGTATTTCAATATATAATTTGTTCGCATTTTTATTGTCCTTTCATTTATTGTCGGATTTGCTGTATTCTTAATTATTGTCCTTGACGCAGTAAACATTCCATCGGTGTATACGAGTACTAATAATATCTTGATTCATATAGGTATGTGTATATATATGTATATATATATATATATATATATATATATCGTGCCACAAATTAGGCTAGAACATTGCACTAACTGGGTAGGAATTTCCTTTACTTTATTATCAATAATTATTGTCATATATTTATATATGAATACACATATAAGAAGTAATACAATATGTAGGGAGTTTAAGGTTTGGGAACTAGCGAAAAATAGGAGAAGCTGGGCTTATTTGTTTCGGGGGTTTCATTAAAATTCAACACTTTCTGCTAAGGTACGGCATTGGCACTAAATTTGTTATTGTTTTTTGTTTTGTTTGTTGTTTTTTTTTTTTTTTTTGTTCAGAGATAATCGATAGTTTCAAGACGATATGATTTAGTTGTGATATTAAACGTTTCCATGCTTTGCACTGGCATCAGTTACCTCATTTATACATAGATAGATAAATTATTTGATTTATATATATATTTATATATATATATATCGATACAGATACGTATTCGAGTGGCACCGAACTACGGCAAACTTTGAGATACAGATACATTTGCGCTGCGTAGCTGCGTGTGCTGCAGGTGTGTGTGTGACGGTGTTAAAGAACTACTACATCGAAAATACTGCAAACACATTTATATATATATAAATATCTATATATATATATATATGTATAATTCTGTATACGATATTGTTATTGTTATTGTTATTTTGGGATTATATTGTCGCGATATCTATATAGAGTTTAGTATTCGTAATTGTCCATGGACTCACCGTTGCGTCGATAGACGCCCCGTTGCAATGCTGTAATACGCGGCGGTGTGCCCCACGAATGGAAGGGGTAGATCCGGCTCTTGCTTGGGCCACTCGGCAGCGAATTGGTGGAAATGCTGCGTATGCGTGCTGCGTTGGCTGCCGATGATCTGGCCGTTTCGACGATGGGATCCACATAGAATTTGGACAGACTACCGCGTATGCCAGCACCGCTCCAGTTCATCATCGGTCGATTTGGTAGGAAACAACGTTTACAAACGGCTGCGATTGGTTGACGCAGTCGCTCGTGTTGGGGGTAGTACTCGACCTGTAGTAACCAAAAAGTCAAAGGAAAAAGAAAAAGAAAGGAAACCAAAACACACACGCACCCATACATTAGTTCTCTAGCTTTCAAACTTAGTGAATAATTCAACAGCTGTACAATAACAATGTATGCATTATAATATTTCGATCGCTGTGTTGTACCGGAACACATGCAACAATACGATGTACTGCAACCAGCCTACACGTAGATTACTGCAAGAGCACTAAATTAAACTAAAGCAAATAAATCAAGACAGCTTAAACATAGAACAACTCAGAACATGCCAATGGGTCGACTCTTTAGAAACATGCCAATGCGCTGAATAAACAAACTTTAAGCACTTAAATGCAATCAAGAAAACAAACACTTAACATTTCTCCAAAATTAAATGAAAAAATATATATATAAATAAATTTGTTTATATGTAGCAGATTATACAGAATTTTCAGAAAAATATATTTAAAATTTAATTTATTAATTCTCCATACATAAATTCTTTTCTCAACAGCTCAGAAGTAGGCAACATTTTTTCTTTCACATTTCCCTTTTCGCTCGAAAGTATGCTACAATTAAATGATACAAATTGTTCTCGGGAACAGTTTGACTACTTCCTTCAAAATTTCTAACGTAGTCAAACAAAAACAAAAACTCTTAAAAAAAAACTTTTTGAATTATCGAATTTAAATGCCAAATGCGTGGCAATTGAAATAAAGCAAGCGGAAAAGTTCTGAAGAGCAAATAAACTGCAGTAAAAGCGAATGCCACGGGAAGAATAAGAAGGGGAAGGGGGAGGCAGTCACACGGCACACGGCCTTGGTGGCAGGCAAACAAAATGCCGGAAATTAGACGATTATCCGTAACACGCAATGTTATAGGGTATGGCCGGAGTGCAGAGCTGGGCAAAAATATGCGAGCAGATTTGCCAAACATACGGAAAATTGAATTTCCGGTTGGCAGTCAATTGGACAAACGGTTTGAAAATCAACAGAAATTGTGTCTCGAATGTGTTAACGGAAACATGAGCATGAATTGAATTTATATAATGCAATATAAATACACAATAGAAGGAAAAATTGCCATCTGCAAGGATTTGAATAGCCGGTGCTGAGTTGCTCAAATATTAAGGAAATCATTCGTAAGTAAAAGTGCTGGTAGCACTGCTATCAGAACTTTTGACACCCGGACTCCAACTCCTTTTGGATTACGTAAGGCTTGTTGGTATACTCATAAAGAAGAGCGTGCCAAGTCACGTTAGTATAAGTTTGGGTAACTTTCAATCAAATAAGGTTACATTTCTCTTGAATGGATAGTTTTACTAGGCCATGTGAGACTATTTTAGGTTACGTGAAATTAACTAAAGACTTCCTTTATATTGGATTTCGACATACTTCAAAAAATGAGTCCATTAGTTTTTTGCAATACTCATCATGTTGTCTGTCTATGTGTATATATATTCGATCAATCCATCCGTTCGTCCATACCTTTGTCCGTATCATCGTAAACCGTTTATCCACTATTGAGGCTAGAGAAAATGAAACTTCTGGTGTTTCGAAAACCCTGTTATAAAAGTTTTAGGTTCTAGGTTGTTGACAAAAAAATATCAAAAATATATAACGGATATATGTATATCTACTTTTATTTGGAGACAATTTACAATTAGAAAATAAACGTTCTTCTAAAAACCTCCTCTATTGATTTGCCGCTGGGGGCGTGAAAGCTGCTGCTAGCTCTCGACCACATCGCAACTAGTTTGATATGGTATCCATGTTGATTTATAATATATTATATATTGTGTTAAGCTTAAGTAAAGTTTTAGAATATGAAATACTGTCTAACCTTTGATATCTAAAGAACTGTTCATTTGTCCATCTATCGATTCAAAAAGTTTCAATTATTATAACATCACACAATCTAATCTAAATAATCTTTATAAACTATTCATGTTTCATACAGTCACTAACGCAATGAAATAAATTGATACGCAACTACGAATAGATTTAAAAAAAATGGTAAACACTATAAAAAGTCTTTCAGGTCAATATATCATTAAGGCACTTATCTATCTAACATAGACTAAGTTAAACATGACATTTACTAGCAGCTTGAGTAAATAGTTAAGCAATTACTAGCAAAGCTACTGATCTAGATCAGCTAGACTAAAGGAATCAGATATAACGATCGTCGCTACTACAATATATAAGTGCACTATCTGTAGATAAGGAGACAGAGGCAGGCATAAGAGACAGAAGATCGAGCAAGAAATAAAATTGAGAAAACGATCAGAAATGGAAATTAAAAAGCTAAACACATCGAACCATCTTCATTTACTCATACAAGTTGCCTGGCACGTCCCGAGCGACTAAAGCGACCGCCCGCACCGCCGAAGCCGCCGCCGGTGTTGCCGGTGGGGCTGCGCAAATAACGGTAGCTGGGCAGAAAACCGGAACGATAGACGGCGCCAATGTGACGCTTCTGCGGCATTGCCTGCAATGCTGCCTGCTGCTGCTGCTGCTGCTGTTGATCCTCCTCCAGCTCCTCAGCAAGGGCAGCGACATTGGCATCGGCATCGGTTGCCTCATTGCCATGCTCAATGCCAAACAATTCGGGATCCTTGGAAGTGTCTTTGGTAGCGATCGCATAAGCATATATTGGTATATACATATATATATATTTACAAACGGTGCTCGAGAAGGTACTGCATAGCCACTAACTAGGTGCAGTTGTGCTCGTGAAAGAAACTGGGGTATGGGGAAAGCAATCTACGGCAAGCCGCAGCGTCGATTTGATAATCTTGCAGAAAGAACTTGAATAATTATATACAGAGAAGGCTAAGGCTATATTCTGTATGAGAATATCAAACGGATACGGATAAAGGCAACGCTTGAATACTTAAATAATTTAACCAAGAAAACAAATTATAATATTTAAAAATATACCCAAAATATTTAATTAATTAATTAAATAAATAATAAAAATTATTTAATTATTTTTTTAATTATTTAATAAGTCAATAAATAAATAAATAATTTTAAAACAATTATTTATATATATATGTATATTT